TGTCCTGGCGCTCATTGATCAGATGTGCGCACGCTTCCCACCCTTCTGCCCCGGAGACGTCCCCCCCTCCCCCCCCCCCCCCACCTCCCCCTCATGCTCTCGTCCAAAACCGGAAGTGCGACCAGGGACATGTGTGATGGGTGCCGGAGCATGTGTGTCTATTTGCATGTACAGAATGTGCGCCTGCGCGCTTGAGCATACGCGCAGGGGTGTCTGCAAGCCGCAAGGGGGAGGGGGGAAGGAGCGAGGGGGAGGGCGAGATGAAAGGGAAGGGCGAGAGACAAGGCTGGAAGAGGCGCGCGCCCAGAAGGCAGCGATGCGCGTGTGGCCAGCTCCTCGGGCGGGCCCACACACCTACTCGGAGATGGACCAGTTGGTCAGGTCGCAAGACATGGCCAGAGCATCTTCCCCATCCCCATAATACTTGTGTTCGGTGTCGAGGACCTCATAGCCGAGGGTGTCGCGGTAAAGGGCCAGTGCGGCGCGATTGGAGCAGCGAACGTGCAGCGAGACCTTGGACGCATTGTAATTCGAGGACATGGAGTGCACTGTATGCCACAAACGCACAGTGGTGGAGTGTGTCAGAGGAGGGCCAAGACAAAGTGGGAAGGGAAGCATGTGCAGCCAGCAAAATGGCAGGAACATGGAAGGCGGCAGGCACGCACTCGACTGCTCCATCAACTTGCGAGCCAGGCCAAGGCGGCGATGCGAGCGCAGCACGGCCACCGAGGTGATGTGGCCCACCGGGCCAGCGGGGGTAGGGGGGGCAGTGCCAGCGGTAGTTGTGGCAGGGGTGTCATCATCGAGCTTGGCCAGCACGTAACCCACGACCTTGCCGCCGTCGGTCTCGTCCACCGCCACGAAGGAAAGCGACGGCCAGGACAGGTGGTGGTACATGTAGTACTTCATCTGGTAGTTCTCCGGCAGACAGGACATGTTGGCGTTCTGCATCTCGACCAGCTCCTCAACCTATTGAAGGGGGCAGCAGGAGGGGGGCCGGCGGGGGGAG